ACTGCTCAGAAGCACTCGACATGAACTCTAACGTTAGCCTTCGACAAATGTCGCATTCGACATCTCCAGAATAGCAACTTTTAAAATTTGACGAAAAAATGACGTCATTAGACATTTTTGTCGAGTTCGACATCATCTCTAAAGCCGAGAATTGGCCCCCAGGTTTCCTCACGATGTTTTCCTTCACTGTTTGTCAGTGGTGTCTAAATAATCTTAGAATGTAGGTACATATAACTCGGAAAAAGTCACATTGGAACTTGCCGTTGGTAGGTTTCGAACCCTCATGCTTGAGAAGCGGGCGTATTAACCTCCGGGCTGTCGCGGAGAACCTAACGGGTAACCGGGGCTCCGGCTCGACGTGCAGGAGAAGGAACGGGGTGGTTTTTGGTCAGTAAGAGTCTGACACTCCCTCCCGCCTCACCCAGGCGGGAGCAGTCATTCGATAATTTTTCTCCCCTTAAAAAAAACATAATTTAATGTGTTCGTTTCACTTTCACTTGCCTAAATGCGCAATGCGATTTCGCGCGTGATTTAAACGGCAGCATCCCTTGTGCTCGCAAGAGGATGACGCCGAAAGAACTCGAACACTTTCTCTTTAAGTTCGGCCGATAATGGAGGCCTGCCTGCCGGGTCAAAGCAATCGTGTTCTCGGAATCGGTACCTACACCACAGTAGAAATAGATCTACTGTGCCTACACTGCATCCTGGATGGTATGATGACTCACTCGCACATCGAACCTCTGGTAAAAATTAACCGCATGAGCTGTTGTAGAGTTACACCTGCGGTAGCACTACACCATTTCAAGATATTGTTGATTTGAATTTCGTCGGTTGGGAGGCATTTTTAAGTAGCGCGCGCTTATCCCCGACACCGAAACTAACGTCTGGGTAGGCGGGGGTGGATTGAGCTACAGGCGCGCGGGCGGCGCGTGCGACGAGTTCTGGTGTGTGCGCGGGGGTGTGTGCATTGGCGTGCTCCCCGCCGCCAAGCCGGCGCCAGTGTCGGCGCCGAGATGTCTCGTTCCTGAACGCGGGCGCCGCCCCTTCATACACTGTTGCCATTCTTCTTTCTGTTCTTCTTTCAATCTGCTATCTCGATAAGAATGGCAACAGTGTAACACGGGACGCGCCCGCGTTTTGCGAATTGAATGAATTCTATATTTAAGTGAATTCATTCCGTGCGGTAATTCATAAACAGTTTGGTATTGTGTACAATATGTTTTTGTCATGTACCCTCCTGTCTCTCGAGGTTGTGTGATTGTATTGTCATACTCGTGCATTAGGTAAATACCATTGATGTTATAAAACATTTACAAAATATATTTTAAAGACCTAGTTGTTACCATTCTAGAAAGTATTGTTCTCTCAATCTTATAATATTATATAAAGCGGAAGAGTTTGTTTTTTTGTTTGTTTGTTTGAACGCGCTATTCTCCGTAACTACAAGTCTGATTTGAATAATTCTTTTTGTGTTGGATAATCATCATTTATCGAGGATGGCTATGAATATAAAACATCACACGACGACCAATAGGAGCTGAGCAGAACGTGTGAAACCGCGCGGAAGTAGCTAGTTGTAAATAATATTCTGTCTCAATGGAAGGGACTAACATCTAAGGTACAGGCTCGGCCTAGTTTAGATGTTAGTATTCATAAACTGTGTGGCAAATGTTTTTGTAACAATAAACATTTTTTATTTTATTTTTTATTACATAACACAACATCACGCCTTTTATCCCCGAAGGGATAGGCAGAGGTGCACATTATGGCACTTAATGCCACTGTACCTCTGCAATGTAACACCCTCTTTTCACTCTCTATGTTTTGAGTCCCCTGTAATAGGGGGTGAGCCTATTGCCATATACCGAGCACAATGGGGATGATGACTGGATATGAAAATTAAAAATCTAATTAGTCCGTAAGTTAGGTAGTAATTAAAAAATATTTGACAAGTATTTTTTTATTTTGTCGTAAAATATAATATAATAAAACAATACTTAGATAAAACGAATCAAAGTTTAGGAGTGGGGGCTAAAACGTCATTTCTTAATATAAAATGTACATAGAAGTGACGTCACACGACATTTCAAATTAATATATCTTCAAAACTATTCGTTTCCATAAGAAAATAAAAAATTCGTATCTAATGTTCTTAAACAATCTAACAGACGGACATTAAAATAAAAATTAGTCGTCTACCCTATTCCAGGCCCCGTGCCACTACTGAGCATTTTTTAAAAAACCCAGTAATACTTTGCCCAACCCGGGATTCAAACCCGAGACCCCTTGCCCGGCAGTCGCACTA